TAGTCAGTAACTAGTGTAATGTGTCTAGTCCTATCTTCGGTGCAGACTGAATTCTATCAGTCACTTTTGCAATGTGGCCACCAGGCTAGGTGGCTCGCCATTATGGCTTCCTGCCGATTGCCTCCAACCATCTAATACCGACAACTCACAGTGCACCGTAATGGCGAGCCACCTAGCCTGGTGGCCACATTGCAAACATGACTGATAGAATTCAGTCTGCACCGAAGATAGGACTAGACACATTACACTAGTTACTGACTAGTGTGCAATCAGAAAACATAGGTCAAATTTATCAATCAATGAAGAACAAGTCACATGACACAAAGGTCAAATAAAGGGTCAACGAATATATATATTAATTATGTTAAGTATTACAACGATAAGAAAACTTTTGAAAACAACCAATCATAGACAGACAGGGTCACCAAAATGAGACAGTAGCATCATTCATTAAGATTTTCGGAAAATTTGATTCACACTGCAGTAAGCATTGCCGATGTTTTCCAGAAGAACAGTAGAAGCTTCTCAGTTAAATCGCTCGGCTCAGAGAGCACAGTCACCCGTCCGCTTACTTTTGTGTGTAGTCCTTCTAGGTTCTATTTTATATTTTTTTATTTTTGATAACAGCTTGATGCCACACCGTATTTTCAGTACAAGTATGGCATTTTCAGCATGAATATCAGTAGCCCAAATTTCGCAGGCCGACCATAGATATCGGGTGTGTGTCGGCAGGGGGTCAAACCCCGGACCATGTGCATGGTCGGCGAGAGTCCTAACCACTGTGCCACCGACGCACAGTACTTCGGTCTATCTGTCTTGCAGTCGTTATTAATAATATATTCTCCGTTCCATGGAACCTTCACCCTACTCTGTGATTTATTTTCTAAACTAAGCGTATCATTCAATAGTGGTTCATTTTGTTTGGATGAATAGATTTATCCTACTTGCTTAATTTTAGTGCATCGTTGGTTCAATAATAGATAGAATTCTCGCCAACCATGCATATTTTCTAGGTTCGATTCCCTACAGACGCACTCTGAAACATCATGTACTTTACTAGACGATAATTAGCCCAGAGGAAGAGGGAGGGTTGAACTTGCAGTCTCACTTCGTGAAAACAACAACACCTTTGATAAAACTACAAAGCTGTGTCCTACTCAGAATGCAAAGAATATATATACATTTATTCTTTATTATTATTATTCCCTTTGGTTCCGAGTGGAATATAGAGCTTCAACAACACATCCCCACTCCCTTCTATTTTATGCTATTCTCTTCGGCTGGGTCCACGATTGCCCATAATCTCTCATCTCCTTTGCTTTTTTTTACTTCTGCTGACTAGCTTTCTCGCTTCGCATGCGAGAGGTCCCGGGTTCGTCCCCGTCATCTCCACACGCATCGATGTGGCGACGTGGTAGCACTTTTCCCCGACCGAAAGCTGCTACCCTGACGTGGTGGTCGGGCTTGGACATCTCAATGACCCAACAAGCTATACTGGCTGAGACTTATGTCGCTTGAGGTACTACAATGCCAGAAAGGTTGTTTGGATAGCGGTTAGACAAAAAGCAGCTACCCAATTCAATACTATGACCCAAACAAAATCACAAAATATCATGCTGGATCGGTCGGGGCCCGGATTAACAACGACCGCGCTTCATGCTGCAGTGTCACAGGGCAGAAGTGATAAATATGCTACTGAGACACACCAAATGAAAAAGAACAAACAAAAACAGGCCGCGTGTTACCGGCCTCAAGCAGTTGTCCCCTGGGCTCTGCGGTCGCGCAACCAACTTCCACGGTGTGGGCAGCCGGGAAGTAACAATCACCCTCACAATCCGAAATAAGATGGGATGGAACAACAGTCAGTTAGTTTTTGAATTTGTATGGTCAATGAAAACATGAGATAAAATGAAATGAAGTAATCTAATGATGTATGCATATATAGTCAACAAAAGTACAGATTTCGAGGTTGAGTGTAATCAATGGTGTCCTGCTATCGTTTGATATAACTAGTCTTTATACTAGTATACCAATCAATACGGCCTTAGATGAAGCGGATCCTAAACTTACTCATAGGACGAAGCTGCCCATTGAGGAAATTATTTTAGAAATACAGTTATACCTCACATCTACTATCTTTAAATTCCAGGGTAAAAAATATAAACAAACAGATGGTGTAGTGATGGAATCAGCAATATCCCCTATTGTAGCAGATATCTTTATGGACAGCTGGGAAAATATTACATTTAATCCTACTCCAAAAATATGGTGGAGATATGTGGATGACACTTTCACAGTGTTAAAAACACAACATATCTCTAGCTTCTTGACACACACATAAACTCACTAGTGAAGGGAATAAAATTCACATTTGATTCGGAAAATAAACAAGGAGAGTTAGCTATGATGGTAGATTGTAAAATAAAACGAACAGAAGAAGGTAAACTGCACGCTGGCAATTATAAAAAGCCAATGCAAACTGCTAATAGATATTTAGACTTTAATTCATCTCATCTGTTATCTGTCTGTGAAGTCTGGCTTAGTTAAGAGTCTAACAAACAGGGCAATAGCACTAAGAAGTACAACAAAATACCTAAATGATGAAATGAAACAGATAGAAGAAGAAGTTTTATTGTTAAATAACTATCCTATAAAATTCATTGGGAAGATCGGAAAAGGTCAAAAGCGAAATAAAAATTATGATGAAACTAATAATGGTAACATAAATAAGAAAGAATATAAGGCATCTACAGTTTTACCATATAAGGGGGTGCTGTCTGAGACCCAACGTAGGATTCTTAATAAAGCAGGAATTAGGGTGACATTCAAACCTACAAACTCGCTCAGGGAAAAGCTGTGTAGGTTAAAGGACCCGATCAAAAAGGATAACATAATTTATAAAATACCTCGAGACGACTGTGAGGTTAACTACATGGGTCAGTCAAACCAGTATACCGGGGATAGTCTGATTATTCGAACATAGGAATTCAGCTAAGTGTAGGATGACTGACCCCGCTAAGATAAGCAATTTAGAAAAAAGTTCAGCAATCGCACTGTATGGATTAACACACGATAGGATGAGATAGATTTACAATTCTGAAAAGTAATATAAGTAAGAGGAGAGAGAGAGGTTGATTAATGAATCCTTGTTCATCGAGTCTACACCAAACACATGCAATAGAAATATTACTCAACGCAAATATCAGAGATATGGAAGATATTATTACCAGTCAAATCAGAGGATAATAAATAATGTTAAAATTTATTTCAATTCACATTATAGCATTCTAACAAGTTACTTATTTTTACGGTAAAAAACATCTTATTTCCCATCTTATTGACTAACAACAGTCGTCTTACTTCCCATCGTAGTATTATTTTATTGATAACACTAATATTGTTTTCGAATGTACCATATATCTTCCTGTCTGTTTCACGCAAGTCTATTGAACTTTTATTGATTTTTTATTCAAGTGTCTAATCAATTTTTACGTTATGTATATAAACGAAACAAGAAATTTGTGTGAGCAACTTGGTATGATAATGATCGGCAATAAATTATTGCTAGAAACGTGTTCATCAGTATATATTACTGTATAACACTTTGTGACTTTATGAAAATAGAATTTTCTCCATAATGGAATTACACGCTACCACAGTGTCCAAGTTTTATCCTTATATCAATAAGTTTAGTTATTTGTATTTTGGTATGCTTTGAAGTTTCTGTAGTGAATAAATTAATTTTCGGGGTTAGTGTCTCGTTGCCTTATGCTCAACCTCCGCTCATTTATCGGATTTTCGATCGGCTAGTAAACTGAGTGAGTTTAGTCTTTTTTACAAACATCTAAATACAATGTTTAGGAGTTGATCACGGACTGATATCAGTTAGAGAACCATTGAAAACCAAGGAGTACTGGACAGCTGCTGTTTCATCCTAGTTTGGGAATCATCGGCAGTACGCACCCACTGGGATTCAAACCTAGGACCTTCCGTTTACAAGGCAAGCTCGTATACCATTCAGCCACTGGCACCTGACCCGATTCAATGGCTCATGAATTCTAACTTCTACCAATTCGTGATTTAGCGCGACCCCAACTAACCCTTACAAACCAAACTATAGAAAAGTAATCTGATGCTCGCTAGTGTGTTGCTACAGGATGGAGTTTCCTGGAGTTCTAGTGAGAAGTCGTGACCAGTGAGGTCCAATTAGATGTCACGTGTGTGGATGGATGTCCCATCAACGACAATGGTTGGGGTCGCGCTAAATCACGAATTGGTAGAAGTTAGAATTCATGAGCCATTGAATCGGGTCAGGTGCCAGTGGCTGAATGGTATACGAGCTTCCCTTGTAACCGGAAGGTCCTGGGTTCGAACCCTAGTGTTGGGTGCGTACTGCCGATGATTCCCAAACTAAGATGAAACAGCAGCTGTCCAGTACTCCCTGGTTTTCAATGGTTCTCTAACTGATATCAGTCCGTGATCAACTCGTAAAAACATAACTAACCCTTACAAACCAAACTATAGAAAATACAATCCTTAGTCAGATTTTCGTATCAACTTGCAATGAAAATGAATGATTTTAAATGAATTAACCAACCAAGAACCTATCGTTCAACAAATATGCAGAAGGAAATGGAGGTGGTTCAGAGGAAACCGTCGAAATACATCGTGTGGCAGGCCTTCGAATGGAACCCGAATGGGAAACGACGAGTTGGGCGTTGGTCTGGCGGTGACATAGAGGAGATGAAAGCTTATGGACGATCGTGGGGTTAGCTAAAAAGGACTCCAGAGGACAGGGTAAAATGGAGGTGTCCTGTTGAAGCCCTATGTTCCACTCAGAACCCAAGAAAGCAATAACGTTAAATGTATGCATGTATACCTCCATTATTTCTTAACTTCTCTAATTTAACCACTACTGGAAGTCTTTCACAGTATATCTGAAAGTGTAACATACATTTAAAAAATATGTAATAAAAAATGGTTTCTTTCTCTTATTGTAGGGACTATCAAAAAGAGTATGAAGCTGCTAACATTTGGTATGAGCATAGATTAATTGATGATATGGTGGCACAAGCTTTAAAATCCGATGGTGGTTTCGTTTGGGCGTGTAAAAACTATGATGGTGATGTACAAAGTGATGTTGTTGCTCAAGGTAAGCTGAATTTTGGCACCCCTGTTATTACTATTATTGTTCCCTTGGGTTCCTAGTGAAAAATAGCGCTTCAACTACACGTCTCCACTTGCTTCTGTCTTCTGCTGTACTTTTCACCTGCGTCCATGTTAATCCATAATGTTTCAACTCTCCTTCACACGATCTCCTCCATGTCACCCTTGGACGTCCCACTCACCGCTTACCTTTCGGGTTCCACTCGAGCACTGGCCTGACGCGCGATTTCACCCAGCCGCCTCCTCAGCGAGTGTCCAATCCATCTCCACTTTCTCCTGCATATTTGTTGAGCGATTGGTTCTTGTTTTGTTTCTTCCCATAGTTTCTTGTTGGTTCTTGTTCTTTCCGGCCATCTGATCTTGAGTATAGAGCCAGCGAAGACAGTTGTTGATAAAGGTCTGCAACCTGTTGGAGATATTCTTTGTGACCCACCAAGTTTCTGATCCGTATAGAAGAGGAGAACTGACTTGACGTTTCTATTGAAAATCCGAATCACTTTGTTGTTGATGCAGGCTGAGTGACGAAGATTTCCAGATTAGTTTCAAGTTGATGAATGTGTTTCTCGCCTTCCCGATTCTCGCTCGATTTGACATCCTCGTTGGTTCCTCCTGTAGTTGAGACAATTCTCCCTAGATAAGTGAATGAAGTGACCTCTTTCAGATCCCTCCCATTGATGGTGATTGGCGGTGGATGTTTCTGCTGCTGTTGTTGTTTGTTGGTTATTTTCATAACTTCCGTCTTGTCTATGTTCACTTGGAATGCTGTGTTTGGTGCTTCTTCGACCAGTTTGTTGGTTTTCGCTTGTAAGTCTTCGATTTTGTGTGACATCAAACATAAGTCGTCCGCGAAATCCAGTTCTTCTAGGTTCTTCACGTCGGTCCAGGATATCCGTGTCTTCTCGTTTCCCACTGTCTGACGCATAATCCAGTCCACCACAATTAGGAATATCATTGGTGATAATAAGCACCCCTGTCTGACGCCTGGCACTCCTGTTAGATATGCATTAATTCACATGGAGTTTGATCACAAGTTGACCGTTAACAGTCAGGGAGTACTGGGCAGCTGATTCATCCTTGTTTGAGACTGTATAGCAATCAGTGAGCTCTCTGGAAACCAACACTCAAAAGTTAATCTGGTGCTCACTAGCGACGACTGACTAAAGGATGAAGTTTTAGTAAGAAGTCGTCACCAGCAGATCCCACCAAGTTGGATGCGACAACTAATACTTACTGATGACCATTAGCTGGCAGTCGTGCTGTATATCGTGAATTGTCATAAGTTAAAATTAGTGGTCCATTGGATTCTCACTCAGTAGCTGAATAATCAACGAGCTGGCTTTGTAACTTGTAGGATCGTGGTTTCGATCGCTGGTAGATTCACTGGTGCTTACTGTTGAAGAGTTTCAAACTAGCACAGCTGTCCCGTACTCCCTCCCGGTTTTCAATGGTTCTCTAACTGATATCAATCCGTGATCTAACTTGAACTCTACAAGAAATGCTCATCCAGTTATAAAAACAAGAACAAGCAGTTCGGTGAAGAGTCTCCTAATGGTGAACTCATTCACTCAGCTGTTCAATCACAATTATGTATGATTATTTTTGTATATATGTACCTGACACAAGAATTGGCAGAAGTTAGAATTCATGGGCCATCGGATGGGGTCCCAGTGGCTTAATGGTATACGAGCTCGCCTTGTAACCACAAGGTCCTGGGTCCGAATCCCGGTGGGTGCGTACTGATGAAGAGTCCCAAACTAGGACGAAACAGCTGTCCAGTACTCCCAGGTTTTCCAGTGATTCTCTAACTAATGTCAGCTCATGATGAAAATCCTGTAATAAAAAATTACTTTGGAGTACTATTTACACCATTAGAACATTTCAAAGCAGTTGGTGAGTAATCAAAATTGTAACTAGGGGGAAAAGATTGGTGAGTTTGGACTAAGGTTACGTAATGCAAAAAACGTTCCAAGAAATGGTTGGTAATTACAAAGCATGGAGATAAGTATCAAAGTAAATTATCTATTAGGTCAACACAGTAAAGAGAAGGTTAGTTAAGAAAATGGCGATAGTAAATATTATACGAAGAATACAAAAAATATTACTAATTACAAAATATTTTATAATACTTGTGCTTGGAATTATACCCAAGGTAGAAGAAGGGGATGATGGAGAAGTTTCTCCTACGTACATAAATCAGGGTCTTCCGTACAAATCGCTAAGGTCTCGACAATACAAAGTATACAGAAGCGTACCTCTTTTTGAAGGCTTCTTTTGACTTTGTAGATAACTTTCCTTGCATATTGAGTGACCGGTACTGAATATATGTTCAGTTATTATTATCTATTATTATTATTCTCTTGGGTTCCGAATGGAACATAGCGCTTCAACAATACATCTCCATCCCCTTCTAATTTCTACCGTCATCTTCAGCTGGATCCGAAATTGCCCATGATCTTTCATCTCTTCTTCTCACGATCCTCTCCATGTCACCCACGCACCGATGACCCACTCACCGCTTCACATTAGGATTCCACTTTAGCGATGGCCTGCATTAAGCGCTATGTCATTCAACGGCCTCCTCAACGCATTCCCGATCCATCTCCATTTTTCTCCTACATATTTGTTGAGCGATTGACTCTTGGTTGGTTTGTTCCCAGCCAGAGTTTTACACAATGCCAGTTTACACAACCAATAAATCATTAGTTAAAGATACGATAACAGTGTATTTCACTGGTTAACACATACCAATAAAATTCCACTGACCTGACAGCTAATCTGCATTATAGTCGAACGTCTTGTTTACAAGTCACGCGGGGAAAAATCATGGCACCTCCTGACCTCAAAATGGTTCATAGACTTGGCGCATTAGCAAAATCATTTCCAACACCGTGCTACAGACTTTTTTCAATGCCTGCCTCCGCTCAATACTGAAGATTAAGTGGTCGACCAGAAACCATAAATGTGAAAAAAAACTCTGGCAGAGAATCAGCGAAGAACCTAATGTCTAACAAATGTAGAGATGCATTTGATATACTCTGAGGGAACCGTTGAGTATAACCCGAACGGGAAGCTATGAATAAGGTGTCTTAGGGTCATATGAAGGAGTTTGTGTGAGGAGCAGGGGAAGATTAAAATCTATCGACAGTCATTGAACCGTTTGAAAGTGGTCGCAGAGAGGACCTAATGGGATATAGGTGTGCTGCTGAGGCCCTGTTTTACCACTCTGGATTCAAGGAGTCAATAGTGATAATAAAAATAAGCCTTCAAGACTTTCCAGAAAGTAATATGCTTATTTATTTTAGAAGTGCCAAGGGTTGGCATAGGACGGTGGTTTAATAACTATATTTTGAGAAGCGTAAATGTCTAAAGAGTGCCAACTAGCACTAAACCTAGGTCCAAGGCTTCCTGCCGATTGCCTCCAACCATCTAATACCAACAACTCACAGTGCAACGTAATGGCGAGCCACCTAGCATGGTGGCCACATTGCAAGCTTTACTGATAGAATTCCGTCTGCACCGAAGATAGGACTTGACACATTACACTAGTTACTGACTAGTGCGCAATCAAAAATATCCAATACAGTCCTACAGGAAGTCAATCGCGAGCATGAATAGCTCAGTGGTAACGTCTCTGACTGCAGCACTCGGTGACGTGGGTTCGAATCTCAGAAAGGACATGAGTTCCTTCAAGGTCGCAGATACGCCTAGCTGATGAGTGCCAACTAGCACGAAACTTAGGTCCAAGGCTTCCTGCCGATTCCCTCCAACCGTCTAATACCAACAATGTCTAATTATATTCCTATTAACTTATATGACAACGAATCTCACTTGCTGATAAGAATTACTGGTGCTACCTCGTCACCGAAATCTCTGTGGACTAGATAAGTTTCAAGTTTCTGAATCTGATTGATAACACTTCGGTACGGAAGAAGGAGAACTGTAACACACTCCTGTAGGCTTTCGACTTCTGACTAGTGAGTTATGGATTCGAACTCGGCTTCTTATGTCAAGTCCTAAGCATCCAGGTAGTATCATTAATCGTCACACCAAAGGGTGTAGTTCAACGCCAACTGCATGGAAAATCAAACAAGTTGAAGGGCTATCCACAATGTCACTAGGTAGTCTCACATTCTATGAAGAAAACTGGGGTTAACTATACAGAAGACAGTTTGTTTCGGTATTTAATTGATCTAATATTTTTATTCTATTGTTTTGTTTTATTATTCACAACAGGTTATGGTTCACTAGGCCTCATGACATCTGTACTAATGTGTCCTGATGGGAAAACGATAGAAGCTGAAGCAGCGCACGGGACAGTTACACGTCATTATAGAGAACATCAAAAAGGCCGGCCGACCAGTACAAATCCAATTGCTAGTATATTTGCATGGACTAGAGGTCTTGAACACAGAGGGAAATTAGATGGAAATCCTCAATTGATTAGGTGAGTTTTCAGTGTGTACAAACTTATTAACTGACGATAATAATTTAAAATTTCTAAATATTTTGTATCATTAAGTTTTCATATATTTATGTTGTGTTATGTATATGTGTCAGTGGCTCAGTAGAAGAACGCTCCCCAACCACGCACATGGTTCAGGTTCGACTTCCGGTCGACTCACTCCTAAACCTTGATTAGCCGATAGTAGGCCCGGTAAAGAAGGGAGAAAAGGACAATTCATAAGAAATGGACTAAAGAAAAAATAATTACTCAGAGAAACATGACAACCTAATGGATCTGGGAAACTGCAAATAGTGAATGCATCTGCATCATTGAGAACAATTTTGAGACGTATTACTAAATCTCAAGCTAATGGGTCTTATTGTCTACAATTCCCAATGTGTCTGGCTCAAATGAACAATCAAAAAACAATCAATCAACCTAATGCTACAATTTGATTTGACCACCCTTAACTCTCTTCCAGCCTAATCCTCTATATCAGCTAGAACTTCTCGTAGAGGAAAGCTTTGGCTCTGCATGATTATCATTAGACTCTAACACTATCGGTTAAAAGTAGTAAGAGTACATTATGTAACCAGTTGAATACTTTATTACAAATTATCCTGCTTCAATAAGGGCCAATCAGTGTTTAGGGTTCACTAATCTTAAGCGCTCAACTTTTGCTCAGTAGATCGCGGATTCGAATGCCACTCCGCCTGCTTCAGTGTGAGTAACTGAATAAATGTGGCTTATAGCGAGTAGAACATGAAACACTTGTTCCATGATCTCTGGGTTCACTGATCTAGTTCTATAACATAAAATAGTGAACTGATTAGTTACCTTTCCCCCACCTTGTAAGTGTCCACTTTAAGTTTGTTAATGAAATTTTATGATGCATAATTTCTTTTCTTTCTTCTAATTAGTTTTGATCAATATGTCCTATTATTATTATTCCCTTGGGTTCCAAGTGAAACACGGGACTTCAACATAACATCTCCATTTTGTCCTGCTTTCTGAAGTTCTCTTTAGCTGACTCTAAGACCACTTATAGCGTCTCATCTCCATCATATCACCCTCGCATGCCCAAGTCGTCGTTTCTCATCCGGATTCCACTCCAGCGATGGCCTGGCATGAGATGTCACTCAACAGGCTCATCAGCCTGTATCCAATCCATCTTGGTTTCTTTCTGCATATTTATTGAGCAATAGGTTGTTGATTAGTTAATTCCATATTAGTTTGTTTATTTGATATATCAAACAGTGAAACAGTATTATTTACTGGATGACGTTTCGAACAAAATTCATTGTTCATAATCATATCAATTGTAATCACACGATTTCGAAACTTGAGTTTTATAGTTTTCTTTGTCTTCTCCTATTTGTCGTCGTTGGGGTAGTAGAATTTTCCAGATATCGGGGAGAGGTGATGAATCATTCCTATTACATGTATTTGCAGTTGATTCGATAAACAAAGCTTCTGTTATCAATCTCTTCCTCCACCCTGTTACATTAGATTCTAAAACTGTCATCCTATCCAATCCTATTTTATGGTTGTGTGTAATTGCATGTAGTGAGTGCTATCTACGGCTGAACTATTCTCTAGATTTCTTACCTTATTAGGGTCAACCAATCTAGATTTTGCTAAGATTTTTTATGTTCAGCTAGTCTGACTGCACCTGTTCTACTAGTTTGACCTATGTATTTGACCCGACAATCATCGCAGGGTATTAGATAGACTAAATTGTTTTGTTTTAAAGGCTCTACAGGATCCTTTAACCGACAAAGCTTGTTTCTAATTGAGTTTGTGGGTTTGAATACCACTTTTATTCCTGCCTTGTTAAGAATTCTGTGTAAGGTTTCCGAGGTTCATTCCTTGTATGGAATTACTACTGACGATTTAGATTCCTTATTGTTGGTGTCATCATTAATATTATTATTATTATTATCGCCACTATCATTATTTATTTTATTTTTACATTTCCTCACATATTTCCTGAGTAATTTATCCGGGTAATTATTAAGTTTCAAGGCTTCTTTTATGTGTATCAGTTCCTGTCTTAGATTTTCCTTGGTACTACTTAGTTTTTGTGCTCTGTCATTTAAACATTTCACTGACATAGGATGGGATAATTAGTCAGTTCACTCCCAGACTTTCTAGCTGCTAATTCATTCTGACCAGCCATCTGATCTTCAGTATGGAGCTAGTGAAAGTACTCACTGATGAAAGTCTTCAGTAGTCTGTCAGAAATGGTTTTGGCGACTCATGAACCAAGTTTCTGAGCCATATAGAAGTGGCTGACTGACTGACTGATTTAACATTGATGTTGAAAATCAGAATTTTGTTTTTTCTGCTGAGTGTAGTAGATTCACAAACTGATTTCTGAGTGACGAAGTTCTGCATTTGGCTTTCTGATTCTGGCCAGTTATGACATTGTCATATGTGCCAACTGCCTTTAGTTGAAACTATGCTGTGCAGATAAGTGAAGGGAGTGACCTCTTCCAAATTTCTTCCGTTGATAGTGACTGGTGCTTGTTATTGTTGTTGATTGTGTAGGTGGTTGCTTATTTTCATCACCGTCGCTTTCTTTATGTCCACTTTTTGAATTCCTGTCTTTGTCGTGTGTCTTCTGCCAGTTTGTTGGTTTTTGCCTGTAAGTCTTCGAATTTATGTAACATTAGACATAAATTGTCCTCAAGGTTGTCATCTGAATGACAAGGGTGAGAGAAAAAATACGTACAGAGCAAAATTATGAAATTGTGTGAGTACACTGATATGATTATCAATAATGCGCTTGTAGTCGAAACGTCATCCAGTTATGAATATACCGTATCACTGTGTGTTATATGTATCAAATAAACATATCTGATATAGACTTCAAAGTTCGAATTGACAGTCTGCACAATTTCAAACTTAAACTAGCTTTAAAATATCCGATTATGAGTTATAATGTGTCATGACTGAAGGTGAAATAAATACCTGGGTTACAGTGGAATATGAGCTGGCGGTCTTTAGTCTACTAATCCCGTCTTTTAGCAGCAATATAGGTAGATAGAGAGACAGGTTGATTACTGAATTTTTCTTCACATGCAACAGAAATGTATTATTATTATTTTTCCCTTGGGTTCCTAGTGGAACATAGGGCTTCAACTGCACACCTCCACTTGTTTCTTTCTTCTGCTGTACTTTTCACCTGTATCTATGTTAGTCCATACTGTTTCAGTTCCTCTTCACACCATCTCCTCCATGTCATCCTTGGACGACCCACTCGCCGCTTCCCTTTCGGGTTCCACTCGAGCACTGGCCTGACTCGCGATGTCACCCAGCGGTCTCCTCAGCGAGTGTCCAATCCATCTCCACTTTTTCCTGCATATTCGTTGGGCGATTGGTTCTTGTTTTGCTTGTTCCCATAGTTTCTTCTCGGTGATTCTTTCCGGCCATCTGATCTTCAGTATAGAGCCAGCGAAGACAGTTGTGGATAAAGGTCTGCAACAGGCTGTTGGAAATATTCTTTGTGACCCGCCGACAAGTTTCTGATCCGTATAGAAGAACTGACTGACTTGACGTCGTTTGTATTGAAAATCCGAATTTTGTTGCTGTTGCAGGCTGTGTGACGAAGATTTCCAGATTGGTTTCAGGTTGATGAATGTGTTTCTCGCCTTCCCGATTCTCGCTCGATTTGACATCCTCGTCCGTCCGTTCCTCCTGTAGTTGAGACAATGCTGACTAGCTGGATAAGTGAATGAAGTAACCTCTTACAGATCCCTCTCGTTGATGGTGATTGGCGGTGGATGTTGCTGCTGTTATTGTTGTTGGTTGGTTATTTTCATAACCTCCATCTTGTCTATGTTCACCTGGAGTCCTGTCTTCACCGGTTGCTTCTTCGACCAGTTTGTCGGTTTTCGCTTGTAAGTCTTCGATTTTGTGTGACACCAAACATAAATCATCCACGCGCGAAATCCAGGTCTTCTGGGTTCTTCACATCGGTCCAGGATATCCGTGTCTTCTCGTTTCCCACTGTCTGACGCATAATCCAGTCCACCACAATAAGGAATATCATTGGTGATAATAAGCACCCTTGTCTGACTCTTGTGTTTACTTCAAACGCCTCGCTGAGTTTCCTCCTGTGGATCACTTGACATGTGCCGTTGTCATACAGCTGTTGAATAAGTTTGATGAATATTTGGGGTACGCCGTAGTACTCGAGTGGTTTCCAAATTACTTCACGGTCAACGCTGTCGAAGGCCTTCTCAAATTCTATAAAGTTGAGGTAGGGGTTTGATTGCCATTCCATGCTTTGTTTGATGATAATGCGTAGAGTTGCAATTTGGTTAGAACATGATTTGCCTTTCCTGAATCCAGCTTGTTCTGGTCGGAGTTCTGTATCCAGTGCGTCCTTTATTCTCTCCAGGATGATGCGACTCAGGATTGTACTTGGCGTCGATAGGAGCATGATTCCTCGCCAGTTCTTGCAGAGTCCTAGGTCACCCGTTTTTGGTATTTTCACGAGGTAACCTTTCCTCCAGTCAGTAGGCACCTTTCCCTCCTTCCAGACCTTTTGCAATAATGGAGTCAGCATGTCTGCTGTCGTCTCTGGGGCAACAGGAATGACTCATCACTAAAACCAGTTATGCTTATAATACCGCTGCCAATCTGTTCAAGAGATGAGAAGTAATGGAATTATATAAACGAAGTTAGAAAGTTGTGTGAGTAACTTGATATGATTATGAGTGGCGATAAATTGTGCTCGAAATGAGGTCATCAGTAAATATTACTGCATAACACTGTGAGACTGTATCGAATAAATTTTCTCCATAATGGAATTATACTTTACCACAGTACCCAATTTCTATTTTATATTTTATAATTAAGCCTACAGTACAAATTCGTCTTCTAAGGGGAATTCGACCTTGCTAAAACTTTACTTTGTTTTTGTCCGATAGTAATTACATACTTAGCACTAAATTAATCTGCTATCGATCGATTTTCTGCTCAAATTATGTCCAATTAATACTCAGCACACATACCTGAGCTGTCAGTCAATCGTAAAGTTAGTTTGACAAGTTATGCTTCTTCTCGTTAAATGGAGTAGAAACAATCAGAAATGAATTTTCATCCCATCGAAAATACGTATTTGTGAGCTGTATTAGCCTCTTAGTGTCAGCCATTGTAGAAAATTTCAATCTTTCCTACTGACTGACTGATTGAACTTTGCTCAGAAGCGCAGCAGTACAAAGAGAGAGAGAGAAAAGAAAGAATTCAAATGTGAGGGAGAGATAGTAGTAACATTGTGGAGAGAACTACTGATAAGATTTATCAGTAGTACATATATGCAAAGAGATGTTCATTGGCATAAAAACATCAGATAACAGGAAGATACATTTGATATTAAAGAAGGCAAATGATACAGCGTTGCGGAAATACATGGGAGACGTGAAAGGAACACACACAAAACACAATATGAAGGCCAGAAGTAGCACAAGACGGAAGATCTGTGTAAATTGTGCGTTGAAGATAAGGTGTACATAATTAGGCTATATAGAGATACCAAACTGCAAATAAACATTCCTTCACCAAGTCTGTTGACCTCTACCGTTTCAACATGTAAAAACCCTGGGGAATTTAATGGATATAGAAGACTGCAAAGAGTGAAAGTATCTATCCTATTGAGCACAGTTTCTAACCATATAACCAATGGTCTCCATCCATTGATTCTTAGCATCTTGAAAACTCCAACCACGCGCAGCCTACACCTCCCTTTGTGGCTCAAACCAACTATCAGAGATATTGTAGACTGATGCAATGTTTTAGTCTGATCACCCGTAACTCTTTTACAACCTTATATTATGTCGTCAGCTAACATCTCCAGTCGAGGAAGACCATGGTTCGGAGTGCACAACACATGCTCTAGCCATCTCAATCGATTCAGTTTCATGGCCTCGTAGATTGACGTACACTCCTTACCGAGTACTTCAGTACCTCATCTGAATGTTACTCACAATATTATACCATATAAAATTGGGAATAGAAGATAAACATCTGTGGTCAAAGACAGTTAACCTTTTCATATCTTCCACTTTCGATGGCTATGTCTCACAGTCATGAAAGAGGATAGAGCGAGCTGCTGTGCAGTATACCCCCCCCCCTCCCCGTCATTTGATCCATAGCTGGATATCAGGTCTACGCACAAAATGAGGTAATTGGCAAGTGCCACACGAGACTATACACTGATAGAATTAGTGTAATACTTCTGTGTTCACTTCACGAATTGATAACATTTTGTTCAACTTCAATTTTTGATACATATTTTATTGCTTTATTACTTTTTTTTTCATTTTTTTTCTCTGTTAAAATATTTCTACACAGGTTCTGTCATAGTTTAGAAAAAGCCTGTGTGGATACCGTGGAATCAGGTAAAATGACCAAAGATTTAGCTATCTGTATTCATGGATCTAAAAATGTGAAACCGGAACACTATCTCACAACTATGGACTTTTTGGAGGCAATTGTTGGTCAACTTAAACAGATGTAATCTGGTATCATTCTTATCAATCAGCACTCCGTTTATGTGTGTATATGTCAATGTCAAGGATCGTCTGTTTCATACTGATTTTGTAATTAATGGTTACCTTGAGTGGAGTTTAAAAGTGGTTTTGTGTGCACATGTGTTTTCTACTGAATTCTTGCACTGTTATCATAATAAAAAATAATTAACTTATATATTGTCTTCGTCAGTTTTTAGTAAAAGTAAACAGATTGATAAAAAGGTTAATATGAATCTTTGTATAGGAGTACATCACTTCATACTGACTGTTACTAAAATGAAATGAAGTTGGCAGTAAGCTACACCTATTGTGTTGAGAGTTAGTGATATTATCTGGCTGTTCAAACGTCGGTAGGTGGAGCTGTGTTTGAACTTGTGACCCAGTGTTTGGAAGTCGAGCACCTAACCCGATGAACAGTAGTTACAAATCCAACGGGTAGCTGGTAGGTTACAGGATTTCATCATTAGCTGACATCAGTTAAAGAGCCTTTGGAAAACCTGGGAGTACTTGACAGTTGTTTTATCCTAGTTTGGGACTCTTCAGTAGTACGCACCCACCGGGGTTCGAACCCAGGACCTTCTGGTTACAAGGCGAGATCGTAGCTAGTACATGAACATGGTGATTGGGTTTACACATCGTAATGACTGAAAGAACTACGCTGGTTGGAACGAATGTTCCTGCAGGTTGTACCATACAAGTAAAGTTGTTCGAATAGCCACTAGACTAAGAGTAGTTACCATCATAGTGTAATCCGTTTACACTGTGATACGAGGTCTGAAGGGAAAGTCGTATTGCTTGATAATTGGGATGTAACAGCAGTAAGGCGTTGACTTCGACTTTGTGGGGAAAGAGTGGATTAGGAAAGACTGTCCCCAAGAGTTTTACATCTCTTATTCCTTTGCAGCGGTCCGTAACCGGTGGTAAAATCTTCATATGGAAACAATTGCTGAAGTCATTCCAAGTTCAACATCAGTTCGAATAATCATCATTCAGCAAAACCATATACAACAGAAGTGATTGGAATTAGTTACACTGGGCGTACACTTAAGTATATTGATCATCACATATCTGAAAATCACCCTACACGGTTAAGTAAGGGACAAACAAAAGACCTATTCATAGCTCTCCTTTTATCAAACCCTATAAATAGTGACCATAAAGTCGATGTTACCAGATAGTTGCGTGCAATCGTTAGGAAGGCTTCGACCCGGGTTTCGTGCTTGTTGGCATTCTCCAGTCAGCAAGGCGTATCTGTAATCCTGAAGGAACTCTTGTCCCTTCTGAGGTCCGAACCCGCGTCACCCGACGCTACAGTCTGAGATATCATCACATTGATCTATTTGGACTCGTGATCGACTTCCTGTAGGACTGACTGTATTGGGTAATTTGATTAGACACTAGACAGTAATTAACTAGTGTAATGAGTCCAGTGATGGTGAGCCTCATCGCATAATTGACTTAGGGAATTCAGTCTGCGTCAAACAAAGGACTAGACGCATGACACTAATTACCAACTAGTTTGCATTCACGAGTTCGTTCTTCTACATACAGCTAAGGCTGTTGGAATCTTCGTGAAGAAGTCAGTCTTGTGTTCAGAAGAAACTCATGCAACCTCGTTTCCTTACCTTGTCCATCATTACGTGAATGTACAAAACTAACAATTCTTCCCCCCCCTCCCCGACCCCTAATTATTTTATTATTTTGATTACTTCATCTTGGATTGTCTATTGCGCAGTTAATTTCATCACCCACTTATTTCTTAATTACTACACTCATTTTGCCAAAATTATGCAAATCACTTGTTTAATTTTTGCAAATACTTTTACCCTTCAATTGTTAATTATCACCTCATTGACATGTTATTAATTGACTTCTATTGCATCCACAATCAAGTTCAACAATCGAACATCGTTTTTTTCGTCACATTTATATTGACTTTCCAAATATATGCCAAAAATTTTTATAGAATAAACATGTGTTGTTTAAGGGGCTATTGAACAGTTCTAGTTTATAAAATTAATAATAATAATTTGCTTTATTTCAAAACAGTACTTGTGATACAGAATGGAATTCTCAGCACTTTTACTACAGTATTGCATCCAGTTAGTACATTATCAATAAATAGAATTCTACATAGACTAAGGAAATCTCAGTCCATTATGACAACAACATATTGGCATGTCGGTAGCAAAGCCAAAGTTGAACAGTGTTTGAAGGTGTTAGAAAAGTAGGTGCTATCATATTTACTGCCGTAAGCGGAAGAAAGAAAGAAAGCAGCGAATAACGGAAAAAAAAGAGAGAGAAAAGGAGAAGAGAGAAAGAAAACGTTGTACCTATAAATGATATGAGTTGGAAAGACGAGATCCAGTTGTTCTACTGACTATTTAATGAATTATAGGTGTCACGCCTAATGCTTTCTTTATCGCACAGAACACGAGCTAAGTAGGGTATGGTTGAGTTTTAGTACTTGCTGGTGCGAGCATATAGTTTTCTATATAGGCTTCTGGTTTTGCCAGATGAGATGCAAGGGGAGAGTTGTGAGTGAAGAGGGTGGTGTGAGTTAGACAAAATGGAATTGACCCATTTTTCACATGAGTCTATGTGTCCGTCAACCAGAATATTTACAAGCTGGTTAAGTGGCACATTGCTTACCCTGCAGACAACCTTTGACATCCTGCGTAATATGTTATAGTCTTTCTTTAGTAGCCCGGGAAAAACTAAGGGGAACAATAGAGAATAATAGGCAGAATGCGAGAGTTAACGAATTGTAGGAGTGAGGGTTGGGTTATACCAGAATGTTTTAACTTCTTAATGTAGAAGGTAAGACGGAATATTTTCTTAGAAATTGCTAGGATTTTTCCATATTACAATCGATTCACACCTCAGTGGAGTTGATTACTGATTACAGCTGGACGCGGCCACATCAATTAAATCGCATGCTTTAATAGTTATGTTGTGAGTGGTGATAACAGGTGAAGTGAAAATCTGAATCGTAGTAGAATTTAGACTAGCGTTCTCCTAACTACTACCCCGGTGATCTACCATCCAAGGCACAAAACGCAGCTGCTAACTAGGTTACTATTTCACTATGATTTAATTTGTACCTGCATGTACTACTGTGTTTCTATATGATTCAGAGACTTGGTGCGCATTCCATGACAAGTATTTCCAGTAGATTACTGCAAAGTTTAGTCAACATTTGCCTTTACTGGCTGCATAGTGAAGATTAGATGGCCAGAAAGGATTGTCAACAAGCAACTGTGGCAAAGAACTGATCAAGAAATATGCAGAAGAAAATGAAGATGAATTGGACACACGTTGAGGAGATTTTTGTGTGAAGTCACGCGTTAACGCCTAGAGTGGAACTTGAATGAGAAACGATACGTTGGACTTCCGAAAGTGACGTGAAAGAGATCGGATGAGGAGAAAATGAGAACCAATGGGAAATTTCAGAACAAGGTGAGGAGGACCGTAGAGAACAGAGTGAAACAGAGATATGCTGTGGAAGCCCTAAGTCTCACTTGGAACTCAAGGGTATAATAATATATAATAAGTAATACGTGAAAGTACCATAGAATTGAATCACACACTAATTGTATCTAATACGACTCAAGATAAATATGGATAATATTTAGCATCCTTCGATCTGTGTTATTTCTTCATGGGCTTTGTTTCATGAATAGGTTTGATGACATCGCCGGCGCTAATCTCATTAAGAGGTAGAAGTGAGGTGTCTTTCCTAGTTGCATGCTTATCTAGACGTTGTTATCTCCTGCAGTCGATCTTTTTTTCTACTGGGGATCAAGGGGAGAGATTTCCTCCCGTATGATCACTTGTGCGTCGATGGCACAGAGGTTAGGACGCTCGCTGACCACGCACATGGTCCGAGGTTTGATCCCCGGCCGACACACTCCTTTACCTCGCTAAGCCAGTAATAAAGCTGGTAAAGAGGAAAGGTTGAGCATGAAGCTAGCAACCCCATCCTGTAAAAATAAATACTGCTACTGAAACTTCAAGCCTCTAGCTTGAAGCCCTATGTTCCACTGGGAACGTGAAGGAATAAAAACAAAATCCCTTGCTCTGCCATTTTGTTTCATCACTTCAAGGTAATCCTTCTTTGTAACATCTCTTGTCCTTAACCAGTGTATTTGGTTGATTTCTCTCCAGCTGCTTAAGGAATGAGTATTCTCCCCTCTATTTAGATTGGATCTGTTTCTGTGTCTGTATGATTGTAGCTTCCTTTGAGTGTCATGCTTCTTAAACTTCTCTTGGTTTCTTTGAGTTTCGACAGTGTCAGGTAATAATATTCTCTTGATGATAGTTGTGTTCATAGGTGTCTATATACTTCATAATGAAACAAGAGCTGAAGATCTTTCCTAGGAAGACAATGAAATCTTCACAATTAAACCATTTAACTCAGTGAACATGACCACACTGCAAAAATACTCACCCAAGTTACAGATCTTCCCCATCATTGTCGTATACTGTCGGCCCACTTGAATTACGAGGCTACTTTAGTTTCCACCCGACACAATGTGTCATATTTTCTCTAATTCTCATTATTGTTAGCATTCTGTGGTGTTACTGATTCATAAAATAGGCCAAGTTAAAGAATAGAGTTGAAAGGGAACGAACGCACTAATTATTTTGAAACGCAAAAGCAAAGCCAGTTAGTGAAACCCGATAAAATGACAAAAGAAGTATAAATTTATTGATAAGAATATCTATTTAGTTAAGAGTCACTTTAAGGAGGGTGCGGATTTGGGTTAGGTAATTGATAGGTTATGGTTAGTTTAAGGGGAAATTAGGGTTGGATTAGTGATCCAGACTTGGTTTTCGAGAGGGACTCATCGTTTCAGAGTTATCGATGTGTTCGTTCCTCTTGGATCGCCGCTATTGTTTATCTATGCCACGAAATGTACCTGCGCACAATTTTAATTAACTTTCAGACAACCAGTGAGCATTTCTCACAGAAGAAAGGAAAAATATCATGTGTGATTAGACTATGCTTCACACCGAACAGCATTACGTCACATGATATACTATAGATTTTTATATGACTTGAAGAACCTGGATGAGGAGAAAAGATTGTGCAAGAAATTACGTTGAGAATTCTGTACATTGGGTAATCATTCTGTCCTGAATACTTGAATATCAATGAGATGC